ACACACACACACACACACACACACATACGCACACACACATACGCACACGCACACGCACACAAATCCACTCATGAATTCATTGTGGGAAATCTATTTTGTTCTTTTTTCCATATATTTAGGAAACCCTTCAGAGAGAGAAATATCTCCTGGGGATTTTAGCGGATGAGTCCCGCACCAACACGACTGCCACCTTAAAAGATCCGTTTGACAAGAAGCTCCGCCCCCTCCAGCTGGTGGTGGCCAATTGGTCAGCTTGTACCGCCACGTGTGGGGGCGGGGTCAGGAAGAGAAAGGTCACGTGTGAGATCATAACTAACAACTATTTTGAGACGTTCCCTTTACGCACGTGTAAACACGCCAACATCGCGATCCCTGACTCCATCGAGAAATGTGCCACGGACCCGTGCACCCGATGGGTCACCAAAGACTGGTCACAGGTTAGTGATAATATGTCATTGCCGTCTTTCATTATTACTGTCGTATATCAAAATATGAGGTTTTCAGGACAAGCAAAACAGCGGGTATTTTACTTAGTACTCTATATTAATATAAAATGTTGAATTCAACGCTAAATCCGTTATTATTTTAGGAGTGAGACTAGGACCAATGGATACGCGTCATCTAACTCTACAACATATTTAACTTTTAATTTTTCTAAATTTTGATCCACTACAATGTTAAATCGAATAATGACTTTAACCTCACTTTTCTCCTCGATAATGGTGGCCAGCTTCGACACTTTCAACAGTAGCCTACTTAAAAGATCTATCCAGATTGTCCTTGTAGTAGTTGGAGGACTTCACTAGTCAGTCCTACACTTTTCCTTTCCCTCTTTCGTTTGTATCTTTTCTATCATGTTTTCCTGCTTAACTCTTGTTCTTCAAGTGCAAACCCGAAAAAGGACATTGGCAAACATATTTCACCATTATTTGTTCTACTTTTTCTCTCAGATAAACTATATTGTTTGCTGTCCTGGTCTTTTGCTTGCAAGGAATTGCCATTGCATGGACCTGCTTCCCTTTAACTCTAACAAGTTGTAAGCCTATCTATCCCCTGCTTTGTCAAAGGAAATTTAGTTTGAAATGTGTTTGCATTCATAGCATAAGAAAAATAAGTTTCCATCTATGAGTGTGTATCCCTTACCCAACATTTTAGGAAAAGGAGACAGATTGGATAAGAAGAAATTTCAATATAGGCAAGCAGATGTCTGTGACAAATGAGGACAACAAGCAAAAAAAAAACTCAATAAAGTTGCATCTAGTCTATAGATTTGTTGATTTCTACTAGGCGGTGCTCATTTCATTTTTGAGGATCGGATTGGATCGGTACTGTTTCGTTCGTTTCGCTTTCTGGCAGCTTCATTGCAAACATATGAATGGACCCCTGCCCAAACCGATGGTCTGACGCATTTTTTTTTTTATTGAAGGTCATTATCGGTTTTGTCGGTTTGTGCCGCAATGGTAGCTTTTGCCCTTCCAAAAATGTGGCTAGCCTCAACGACCAAACCGACTGAACTGAACGA